AACATGAATAGATCCAAAGACAAACTGAGAAGCCACCCTTGACCTGGTCATAAGTTCACCTGCAAGAAGCCACTTAACAATAAGAACAGGCCCACAGCTATATAGAGACCACCTTCCAATTATAATAAAAGACAAAAACTATCAAATCTCATAAAAAATATCAGAAAGAAAATGGAAATCCACAAAGGAAGGATGGTCTGCCATCAGAACTTAGCCGAGTAAATATAAATATAAATTCACTAACAGAACTAATGAAGCTAATAAAAGACATTGGAGAAGAACATGCCAGCTTTGATAATAAAAAGATAAATCACAAACCTAATAAACCCTGGTGGAATGAGAAATGTAATGAAATAATAAAGGAAAGAAATGAAGCTTATAGTAAATAGAGAAGTCCATACACAGAAAATATATTAAATTATCTTAAAAAATATGGAATTTAATAAAAAACAGGCAGGTAAAACAACAAGTGATTACCCTCTAATAAACAACAACTTTCCAGTATTTCAGATCTCAAAAATAGGAAACAATGAAACAGAATCACAAATAATCATATAATTTTAGGAGTCAACTTTGATGCACCAAAATTGACTTGGAAAAATCACATGACATATGTAAAAATAAAATCAATGAATAAATATTATGAAAAAACTGATGTCATTAATTTGGGGAGCAAATAGAGAAACCTTAATGAAGTTCTTTGACATATATATAAAACCAATAACTGAAAATGGAATCACAGTATATGGTGCAACAAATCAAATGGAATTGAAAAAAAAAAAAAAACTAGAAACCATCCAAAATAATGCATTATGAATTGCAACAGGATCCCTCAGAACAACACCAATAACAACCCTACAAGTATTGACAAATCAAATACCAACAGCAAACAGAATAAAAGAATTAAGAATTAGAATGCATCCAGTTCATAAAAAAACATGATAATATGCCAATTAAATATTTGACCTCAAAAAACAGAAAAATTTAATTAAAAAAAAAAAAAATAAAATGACACTAGTATCTAAACAAAAAGAGAAAAAAAATTAAGAATTGACACAATACCTAACATATCCCCAATTCCGCCATGATCTGACATCCTATAAAACATAGAATCAAACTTGATGGATAATATGAATAAGAACACACCACACCAAATGATACAGCAACACTTCCACCTACTAGAAAACACAGCATACCAAAATTACCGCAAAAAATACACAGATGGATCAAAACTAAAAGAACCAAAATCAACAACAACAATACACATTCAAAACAAAAACATTACAACAATTTGGAAATTGCAAAACAACACAAAGATAATAGAAGCAGAATTATTTGCAATTAAACAACAACAAACTACAGAAAACAATAATCTTAACAGACTCATAAACATCTACACAAGCAATAAAAAACTACAAACCAGTAAAGTACAAAAACATAATATATTAAATACAATCCCAACTACACTTATTAAACACTAAAAAACATATAAAACCATAGTGCATCCCTTTGCATGAGAACATAAAAGGAAATGAAAGAGCAGAGAGAGTTGCAAAACAAGCTCATGAAATAAAATATCCCATAACCATGACCCAAAATGCAACAAATATAATAAGAAAATTGGATTACCAATTTGAATGAAATATTAAACACAAAGGATTACTAAATGAAATATAACAATCCACAACCATGGGCAAGATAACCACACAGGAAAATAGAGGTAACCATCACAAGAATAATGACAAAACACACAAGACTTCTAAGTCTTGTGTGTTTTGTCATTATTCTTGTACCAATTAAAAATAGAAACAGATCCAATGTGTCGATCGTGTAACTGTCAAGAAGAAACACCAGAACATATAATTTTATAATGGCCAAGATTTAATTCATACAGAACTAATTCAATAACATCACTAAAGATAAAAATACAAAATCCTGACATGAATTCCTTAACCACTGGTGCAGATCAACCACCCATAAAGAAATATTACATTCTTGACACACAAACACCTTCCTACAAAGAAAAATGCAGGGAGTATAGACTGCTATATAGCCTAATCTAAATCCCTATAAAAGAAGAAAGAAGAGGTCCTCACTTACAATGCAAGTAAAATACTGTGAAGTCAATGGTCAGCTACCTGTTAAATATTCTTAGCAGGTGCCCCACTCAAGTGGATCATAGAATTTTTAAAAAACAGAACATACCAACTAGTTATAGGTAACAAAAAATCTACGGAAGAAAACATAGAACGAGGCCTACCACAAGGCTCTCCCCTAAGTCCATTATTGTTTAATATAATAATATATATATTATATAATTTATATAAAACCCAAAATAGAATATGGTATCACTATCTTCGGAACAGCCAAAAATACAGAAATGAAAAAAATAGAAATTATACAAAATAACGCACTTAGAATTGCTACAGGCTGCTTAAAAACCACCCCAATCATAGCTTTATACTCACTCACAAACAAAATGCCCATCAAATATAAACAAAAAGAATTAGAATGTATGCAAATGATGAAAATATTAGAAAAACAAGAAAATAATCAAATTAAGGAAGATGTAACAGCAAATATTGAAATATATAATCCTGAAAAAGGTAAGAGAGGTATAGTACAAAGAGTAATAGAAACTTGCAAAGAATTAAATATAACAATAAAAACAAAAACAATATCAAACATAACTCCCATTCCACCTTGGTTTGATATTACAAAAAACATTGAAACCAACTTCTTAGATGAGCCAACAAAAAACATCCCCGAACAAATAATAAAGACTCAATTTATAAAGTTGGGAAACACAAAATATTTAAATTATAAAAAAATATTCACTGATGGTTCAAAATTAAGCACAAATTCAACGTCAGCGGCCATATATATCGAAGAGAAAAAGATTACAACAATATGGAAATTACCAGACAAAACAGAAATAATAGAGGCTGAACTTTTTGCCATAAAACAAGGAATCACGTATATCCAGAATAATAGATTAAGAACAACAGTAATATTTTCTGACTCAAAATCAGCTTTACAGCTAATATCAAACCCAAAACCAAAAAACTTTAAACACACTATATTTGAAATACAGACACTGATATATACACTAATATGTCAAAATCAAACATTAATTATACAATGGATGCCTTCACATAAAAACAAGAGGTAACGAAATAGCTGATCAAGCGGCAAAACATGCTCATAACATATTAAACCCCATAACCATACACAAGGACAGAAGAAAAAAGATAAAACAAATAAGAATAGAATATCTTAAAAAATTGAAAACACAAGTAAACACAATCCTAATTACAAAAAATTACTTTTTAAAAAATACAGAAATACAACCATGGTCAAGATCAAAAAACAGAAAACTCGATGTGTGTATAACCAGACTCAAAACGACACACACAAGATTAAACCAACATCTACATAAAGTAAAAATAATAAATGACCCAACATGTAGATGGTGCCATCATCAAGAAGAAAACATATAACATCTAATACTACAATGTCCAAGATTTCACTCTTACAGAACAGACCTGATGGAAGCTTTAAAAAGAATCAAAATAAACAATCCTAATATAGACTTATTACTCACAGGTGCTGATCTCCCACCAATAAAGAAGTACTACATTTGAAGACACACAAAAATATTCCTAAAGAAAACGAAACTAATAGAAATAATATAAAAGAAAAAAAAAAAAGAAGAAAGAAGAAAGAAAAAAGATCCAGGGGATATAGACTAGACAATAGTCTAAAACCCTATAAAAGAAGAAAGAAGAAGAAGAAGAAATATTCTTAGCAAAAGAAAAGCTGTATCTGTATGGAATATTTTATAAAGAAGTATTGCTTTGTTTCTGTGCCACCCATTGTTAGCTTACGTGGTGTGCTGGCCATTCATCCTAGCTTCAGATTAGATATATCATAATCCATAATCTATAATAGATATGGTATAGTTTCAGTTTCCCAGAGCCATGTAGCACAAGGTAAAATTTACCTGTGATGAACAGCATGACTAAAAATAAGACGTATCATCCATGGCCCCACCTTTGCACACTGATAATAAGAAAGTTGTGTGACACATAATACTTTGGTACAAATTTACAGGACATGATAGCACTATAATAATCAAAGTGAAAATAATCAAAGTGAAAAACTACACTCACTATTACATCCAATAATCTGCACAAATAAATAAAGAAGAAAAAAGGGGTGAACAAATGCCAAGCGGAGAGCAAGTCCATGGTGATCGGGAGGGGTCTAGGGGCAGAGGGCTCCCCCCTTAGTGATCAGATGGCGTTAGGAAGATTTATGGTTCATACATCAAGGAATGGCTGGAGTATTAGACAATCTCAGATTCTGGCAGATTATTGCATTGAGAAGAGAGAGGAATAACTGCAATATTCAATGGCTGTGTGAAACTAAAAATATTACCATTGACATTAGCAGGGTAGCTATAAGGGTATTAGCATAAGTTATACTAGATAATGACATGAATCATAATTCTGAATATTTTCATCATAATTCAGAGAACACTGCTAAGGGACTTGGATGAGTCCCTATTTAAAAACCATTTAGGGCACTTTCTTATTGTTTCTTCCCACGACTGACCCCTGACAGTCAGTTTCTTAGTGAGCATATATATCAGTTACAGCTCTTTTTTTCTTCTTTAATTGGGTCCTGGAATATTGTTATGGCAGTTCCCTCACTAATATGCGATTACCTGTCAGACCAAACTGCACCTCAGCATGAAATTTGCTGCAATATCATTTGGGCAACAAGACGGGGATTTAGACAGCCTACGTCAACCATTCTTCCAAGCAATTTCTAAAGACAGTGCGGCAAATATTTCAAAACGGCATGTGTGAGTGAAGCGTGTGAGACTACACGAACGCGGGTCGGGCGCCGCTCCCTCCCCCCGGTCCGCCAGCGCCGCCGAGGAAGCAGCCGCCGCCGAACGCTCGCTCGCTCGCCTCCTGCAGGTCGCCCTCGCCCTCGCTCGCCTCCTGTTGCCGCCCTCGAGAGACGTCCGAGATGTTGGCCCACTCCGCGCTGGCCGGCTCTGTCTGCTCTGGCCTGAGGAATGCCTTTAAGGGAAGGAATGCCCGCATTTTCGCTAGATTTTTGGGTAAGGAATTACGTCTCCAGAATATTGCATAATCACGATTTTATGTCCCAAAGTGGATAATCATGTCCATGCTGTGCATCAGTTGACAGATATTGAATTTATTGTCGATATATACCTATTGTTTTTTTGTGTGTGTAAAAGGGGTTTGTAGGAGTTTAATGATATTTATATTCCTAATTGTTAATTGTTCACAATACCTTTGCATAACGGATTCCTCTCACCCTCCCATACACCTGTATGTAGGAATTATGCCATGGAACCCTTTCAAAGCCCGATATTCTTCATGATAGAAGGGCAGGGCTTTAAAGGTACCAGGGAAATTGCAGGGTGTAATATGAATGATACACAGAATCAGTCTCTATATTGTCTAATGCAGCATGCTGTGCCCCTGCGACCTCCTCATGGGGTCGCAGCCCCCCAGCCCCTGTCACGGAAAATAAAGAATCCTTCATGTATTCATGGCAGGATAGAGCATGAGACAGATTTGGCATCAGGCGTTCCTACATGTCAGTCGTAAGCTCTACCATGGCGTGAATACGTGGAGGATTCTTTATTTTCCTGCGAGGGTGTTGGGGTTGGCAACCCCCCAGGAGGGGAGTCACAGGATTCACAGCCCCCTGCATTAGACAATATAGTGACTGATTGTTTCACATCCAGACTTGCATATTTAGATGTTTATTTTCAGTAACACTCTAAAGGTCACATCCATTGGTGAATTATCCCATTTAGTCTGGGATGATGGCCTATCATAATATGGCTAGACTGTCTCTCTTGCTTGTGAGGTCCTATTTTATCATATATACATAATTAACCCATTGCCGCTGGGGATGGCATGTACGTACATGCCATGCCCACTGTGAGTCGACTTGTTTGATTGTTTTTACACATAGATGGCTACACGTGTACTAAGTATCCAATGAGCCAGGCGATACAGTACTGCCTGTCTCGCCTGTTCACCCTTTTCATCGATTTATGAAAATATTTAACGTTATCCTAATTTGCTGTTAAAAATAACACCATCTATATTTATAGCACTAGTAAGAATACGTTTTTTCCCGCCAATTCAAGGAAAGGTGAAATCAGGACTAGCAGAGCCATCTATGGACAGAGATATTTCACAAAAATATAAAAAATGAGTATAGCATTTTCCCCATTTTTTGTTCATTTTCCCCGGCGGCAGCAGGTTAAGCCTGCTCTAAGTTGTGTGCACCATATAGCTGTTTGCTAGCTAGGATTCATCATCATCAAATGGAGGGTGCAAAACAAACTGCCTTAGCTTTCCATTTAGTTCTATCCTGAGCCAGTCGAAACAGGTTTACAATATTTCTGCCACCCACAATTTCCTTAATGTTATCACTGAATCTAACTTTTAGTCACAGCTACTGTCAATGCTTCTGAAGACATGACCAAAAAAGGACAACTTTCATCTGTTGAGAGTTACGAGTAACCTTTCTTTTTCAATCCATCTTTTCCAGAACCCACTCATTTGTTTTCTTTGCAGTTTAGCTTATTCATAGTAACTGTTGATAGCACCACAGTTCAAAGGCATTGATCTTCCTTTCATCCCCCTTTTTCTAAATCCAACAGTCCGATCCATAACCAGCAATGCTGAATACAAGCGACTGTAGTAACTTTACTTCATTCATTTACTTCATCTTATCTTTGCAAATATTTGTCAATGAGACCATTGCATTTCTAGCAATGCACAATCTTCTTCTAATTTCTCTTATATCATCACGGTTATTGAAAATTAAAGCACCAAGATAAACAAACTTCTTAACAATTTCAATATTCTCATTATCATTCACATTATGAATTCTCTTTCATAATTATTTTGGTTACGATGTCTGCATATTTTCATGACTTTAGTTTCACTTGCATTTAAAGCGAGCCCAAACTGAATACTAGCACCTCTAATTTTATTCATCAATTCCTGTAATTCATCCATACTGCCAGCTATTAAGACTACATTATCAGTGTATCTTAAGTCAGATATTGTTTTGTTAGGTTAGGTCTTACATTTCCTGAAAACCCCTCAAGAGCATTTCTCATAATCTGTTCAGAGTTGAAGAAGTGTGGTGAAAGAATGCATCATCGGCGCACACCTTGCTGAAAATCAAACCATTCTGTTAAACTATGTGTTGTTCTAACTGCTGCCTTTTGCTCACTGTGCATAATTTTAATTAAGCTAATTATATGCTCTGAGAACCTCATATTTTTCCATGTGAAACCATGTCAAAAGCTAATAAAGTCAATAAAGCGTTGATGGTGTTACCATATTCTCTGTTCTTTTCAATGATCATCTTGAGATTTAAGATTTGGTTTCTGGTTGCAGTTCTGGGTCTGAAACTGGCATGAGCTTCATCAATTTCTTTGACCATTTTAATTTTGATTCTGCCAGCAATAATTTTGCTACAATGGCTGATCAAAGTAATAGTCCTGTTGTTACTGCATATTAGGATATCACCTTTCTTAGTTACTGGTACAAAAATTGATTTAACCCAATCTTCACATCATTCCTTCTTGGTCTATATCAAAGTACATAGTTTGTGGGAAAAAAATGTATTTTTCTAACTTAGCTACCACTTCATCCAGTCCAGGACTTTAATTATCCTTAAGCTCTTTGATTGCCTTTCAACTTCGGAGAACAGCAATGAAGGTTCAGCTGTTAGTTTGTTAAAGTTCAGTGGTGGTGGTTCTAAAATGTATGTACAGATTATGGCAGTACTGTTTCCACCTTTCTTTCCCTTCTTCACTTTCACCAAGTAATGCTCCATTTTTTGACAATGTCTATACTGGGCTTGAATTTTCTTGTTAAGCTTCTCACATCTTGATAAAAGGCTTTTAGATTGTTTGTCTCAGAATTCTCTTCAATATGTTGACTAAGGTCATTTATAAAACTATCCTTATCTTTCCTCATCATTCGTTGAACTGTCAAATTTTGAATCTTGTATCTAGCCCTGTCTACTTCATCGTTAATGCCATTGGCTCTTAACTCATCTAGGATTACTGAGGAGAATAGACCCTCAAAACTAAGCTTAGATCCTCTATATTAGCCTTCCTACCAAAATAGTCCTCTATGCTGAGAGCATAAAGGATGATGCTTCTAATTTTTTTCTCAAACGTCCACCTCTACGCATATCCAGGCACATGGTCTGGTATGGTGCCAGGAGCTTCTGTCTTGAAAGGGTGAAATATAACCAAAACAGTTATTGTTTTGAAGATCAGGAGTGGGCAACCTCTGTAATTGTGCTAGTCATAATTGGTCTAATTTTTAGTAATAAATATTTTCCCATGCCTTCTAACTAGATAGCTGGAACCTACTGTGACCTGATATTCATATTTTTCTGATATTTAAAGTTGAGCTTTGTTATAGTTACACTTTGATTTAACACACTGAGAACTTGGAAAACTTTAAAAGACATTAGAAATGATTAACTGTTAGATGAATGATATAACAAATGAATGGGAAAAAAACACTTCCTCACCTACTCCTTCTCCCCTTCCCTAGCCATACAGGCAGCATATGGCCCTCTCCAGTTGCCCAGATGGCAATATGAAAGAATTGGAGATTTATTTAGTTATTTTTAAGATCCGCCTGGGTTTTCATATGCCCAAAATATGCCACTTTTGGCATGCATGTAATGGATTGACCACCCATTTCCTTTATCTTTAGATTCTCGATTTAGATATCTTGCATAAAATTAAGCACATAAAAGATTTATGAGATATATTTATCACCACAGGTTCTTCTCCAGTTCGAAATGTGGCAGGCATGGAACAAGAATCTGAACTGCGTCCCTTGTACTTAGATGCCCAGGCAACCACTCCATTAGACCCACGTGTGCTAGATGCTATGCTACCTTATCTTACACATCAATATGGAAATCCTCACTCTCGCACTCATGCCTATGGTTGGGACAGTGAGAAAGCAATGGAAAAGGCTAGACAGGTAAGTCAGGGTACTTTTGGAATACCTTATTTCTCATAATATTGTCATACCACAAAGATAACAGGTTTAAAATCTTCAAATCCAAATAAACTGATATTTATATATGTTGTACAGATAAAAATGTTTATTTACTTATGTATATTATTTTATTTAATAGCAAGTTGCTGAACTTATTGGAGCAGACAAGAAAGAGATTATATTTACATCAGGGGCCACAGAGAGTAATAACATCAGTGTCAAAGGTGTTGCCAGATTTTACAGGTCCAAGAAACGCCATGTGATCACTACTCAAACTGTAAGTTTGTATTTAAGGTTTGTAGCTTTTAATAAAAGTATGGGTGCATATGTGATGCGTGAATATGTGCAGGTGTGTGCATACATGCATTTGAATCTGTGTCATTTATAGTAACAGTAACAGCATTAGAAAATAATGAGAAAATTCAAGAAATAGGGATATCTGCTTATTGACTACTCTATGACTAAGTGCAAAACAAAACTACAGTGGATGTTGCAATTACTTGGCACCAATGGCTTAAATTTTCAAAATCTGTCCAATCTCCCTGTGACGCATAAAGTATATTCCAACAGGAACATAAATGCGTCTTAGACTCCTGCCGTGCTCTTGAGAACGAAGGCTGGGACATAACCTATCTTCCAGTACAGTCGACAGGTCTGATTTCTCTTGAAGAATTAGAAGCAGCCATTAGACCTGATACTGCTCTGGTGTCTGTCATGATGGTTAACAACGAAATTGGAGTGGTTCAGCCTGTCAAGTAAGTAAAGAGCATATGCCTATATTTTGAGATGATAGTGCATTAATTTATTTTTCAAGTTGGAATAAGTCTGAGCTACAGTAAATGAATCCTTGTGAACTGAAAAATACTGCATTTGATATATTATTTCCATTAGATTATGCTTTGAACTAGTAGAGGAAGCATACTGATTTAATTATATATAAACATACATACACTTGCATTGTCAGAAGTACAGAAAAAAAATTGTTGTATATGAGGATACTTGTAAATTTACCTGAATATTCAATATTAATAAAAGTAAATGTACTTGTTTCAGAGAGATTGGTGCATTGTGCCGCTCTCGCAAGATATTTTTCCACACAGATGCTGCTCAGGCTGTGGGTAAGATACCCATCAATGTAAATGAACAGAATATTGACCTAATGTCTATTAGGTAAGACATGTTTACAAGTGTAGTGTTAGAATTCATGTCCTTCTTACTTCTTTTTTCCCTCACTTGTTCCCTCTTGAAACCTCTGATAGATCTTTGGGGCCATTTTTCTTTCACCCCAACCTCCTCCCCCCTCTGAGTTCTCAGATGATATGGTAGCACAATTTGTATTTGCCCTTCTGTTTTATCATATAACTATCATCTAGATGGTTAATATATATGTATATATATATTTTGTTTTTTGTCTTTTGAAACTTCACTGGTATTGACAAAGAGATTATAAAATAAACGAAGAATATTTGCACCAATAAACTGAGTTTAATATCCACATGTACTTCCTTTCCAGTGGGCACAAAATTTATGGGCCGAAGGGCATTGGTTGTCTGTATGTTCGCCGACGCCCAAGGGTTCGCGTGGAGGCCTTGATGAGTGGCGGTGGGCAGGAACGTGGCATGAGGTAACTGTTTCTTTTTTTTTTCTTACTGTTCCTTATTATATATATATATATATATATATATATATATATATATATATATATATATATATATATATATATATATATATATGTATATATATATATATATATATATATATATATATATATATATATATATATGTATATATATATATATATATATATATATATATATATATATATATATATGTATATATATATATATATATATATATATATGTATATATATATATATATATATATATATACATATATATATATATATATATATATATACATATGTATATATATATATATATATTATATATATATATATATATATATATATATATATATATATATATATATATATATATATATATATATTTTTTTTTTTTTTTTTTTTTTTTTTTTTTTTTTTTTTTTTTTTTTTTTAGTAATTGAATTTACCTCTTCTCTTTGTTGACTTCATGGCACTAGATAGGACAATTGTTATAATTCTGTCAGGAATCTTAATTTTAAATTTACATATCATTTTAACACCTTACTGCCTCTATTCTCATTCCCTCCTCGTTCCGTATCTTAAATCATTCGTGATAGGATAGAATTTTTAATAATGCTTAGCATTAGCACATGCTACTTCATGCCTTGGTTTATGGCCAGGCCAACAAGCTGCCATCCTGACCAATAGGACCCAGGCTCATGACATGATTAGACATGAAAGACTTTTGATCATGATGTGATAGGACATTACCTGTGGCAGTGGGCTAATAATATGTGTGTGTGTGTGTGTGTGTACATATATATATATTTATATATTTATAATTTTTTTATTATTATTATTATTATTATCATTATCATTATCATTATTATTGTTATTATCATTATTAGTTTTTTCTAACATGAATCAAAGACAGAGAATTCACCTTTTATTTCCACTGTATCCCCAGATCTGGAACTGTGCCAACCCCTCTTGTCGTTGGCTTAGGTGAAGCATGTGAAATTGCGAAGAAGGAGATGGAGTATGACTCTCAGTATATAAAAAAGCTGTCAGACACACTGGTTCACTCCATTATGTCAAGAGTTCCCAATGTCATCAGGAATGGTGATACAGAACACACATACCCTGGTTGTGTAAATCTCTCCTTTGCTTTTGTAGAAGGTGAGAAAAGCATTTGTAAGAATGGCAGTAGTAAGTGTTCTATGCTAAGGATTATGCAGTAATTGCCTACAGAAACCAGTTTGTAGAATTCTGTTAATGTGTTACTGTTTCATCTACTCCAGGTGAAAGTTTGCTGATGGCACTGAAGGACGTGGCACTCTCCTCGGGGTCAGCTTGCACTAGTGCCTCTCTGGAGCCTTCATATGTTTTAAGGGCCATTGGAACAGAGGAGGACCTGGCCCACTCATCCATTCGGTTTGGCATTGGACGATTTACCACAGAGAAAGAAGTTCAGTACACAGCTGATAAGTGTGTGGAACATGTGAAAAGACTAAGGGAAATGAGGTGCGTAGTGTGATATGTCAGAATATTTATATTGTCTTTTGATATGAGCACTTGGCTTCTTTATCTTAGAGGTGTTTTGTTATCCAAATTTTTTAAGTGAATGGGATTTCTTCTGGCAAAAGATATTTGTATTTAGTAACTTATTCAGTTGTGGATAATTTACAAATAATTGGCTTTCTCATTCTTAATCTACAATTAAAAGATATTAAGTAGTGTGATTGGAAAGTCTTGCTATATGATAATAACTATGACATATATATTGTAAAACTGTTAGAGGAAGACTTTGGTTAGAAGACAAATTGTTATTATGTTGTAGAGAATATATTGAAACCTATTCAGATGAACATTAATTTACATTTTTTGTGCATCTTTACAGTCCTCTGTGGGAAATGGTCCAAGAAGGCATTGATCTGAAGAGTATCCAGTGGTCACAGCATTAGCACATATAACAAACGTATTTCCTTGGAGCCAGTTGTACTATATTTGTTTATTGTTTTGAGAATAAAATTAAAATGTAAATTATGTATGTGTGTGTGTGTGTGTGTTTGCGTGTGCGTGTGTGTGTTTGCGTGCGTGCATGTGTGCATGCATTCATAAAATGTTTTTGCACATGCTCACGCACACTCACACTCACGCTCACGCTCTCACACACACACACACACACACACACACACACACACACACACACACACACACACACACACACACACACACACACACACACACACACACACACACTCTCTCTCTCTCTCTCTCTCTCTCTCTCTCTCTCTCTCTCTCTCTCTCTCTCTCTCTCTCTCTCTCTCTTTTTCTTCCTTTCTTTCACATGCACATGTATACACATCTGCAAGCATGCACACATAAACATGTAGTTACTATATATTTTGATATGTTTAAATACTGTGTTTATATATTTTACCAAGACATTAAGAAATCAACAAATATACTACAGTATAAGATCATTTGTGAGGATCACACAGGACTGTATTCACTTTAGTATACATAATATATCTATTATCTTTACCATTAATTGTTTTACTGTTTATTGATTCTACATTAACCCATTGGACCCCGATGCTTCACTGCCATTACGTGGCCCAAAATCAGGCATTAGGATTACATGAGAGGCCAGGTATACATGAACACTTGTGTGGTGATAAGTCTCCATGCCTTCATTTTGCAGCATTGTTTTCTCTTTTGCATTCCTCCCCTTTGCAATGTTATTTCTCTTTTTCAGCGTAAACATTTTTAGTTTTTTTGTCATTTTTCAATGCATATTTGTAGATTTGATTTGATATCCAGGTGATAAAAAACTTATTTTCCTTGTACAGATTTCACATCATTAGTGCATAACTCCATAAGTAATATTTTGTTATTTGTGTCATTTTTTTTATATAATTTTTGTAATATACAATTTTCTGTAATACACTGCTGGTCATGGTGGGTAGGAATAGGATCCTGAGCATGGAAAGAGCTTGCTCTGGAGACAGTGCATTCCACACTCGTTTTTGGATGGGAATAATGTAAGAGCCCCTTCCTAAATGTCAAATAAATCTAATCACCCTCCAAGAGCTTTGTGCACACATGGTGAGTCTTTCCTGTCACCCTGGCTTTCAGCCAAAATGCTTACAGTGGCAAGTTCATGTCACCCTGGCCCACAGCCAGATTTTCCCACAACAGCATGTTCACATCACCTGCCTCTCAAGCCAAAATTTTTCATGGCATGATGGTTGCATCACCTGGATCATAAGGGTTAATTTAAATAGCTAAATTTTTATATTGAATTTTCTGTGTTGACAGCAACCTTGCACTGATTTGCCTTACAAAGAAAAATATACAAAAAATTGTTACTATTTTAGTTACTCAGTATTTTGTTCCAAGGGGTTATAAATATCTAAATCATTCTGCAATAAAAAAGCTATATATTAATATGATTGCTATTCTAATACTATTTATTGAGTAGTATATACACTGTATATAACATCTTTGGTCTTTTGTAATTTAAAACCTACACCTATTTTATTCTTTTGTATATTCTTTTATAAATGTGTGTGTACTTTAAGTTCAGTCTTTTCTATATGCCTGCTAACTTAGTTGTTTGGAAAAAAAAAAAAAAAAAAACTTTTTTTAAACTGAATTATACTGCAGTAGGATACAGTGTATTTGACATGTATTTTCACTAAAGTTTTGAAAATGTCTAGATGTCCTAACTTTTTAAAGAACAACCATTTTAGGTTCATACAATATTATCTAACAAAAAAATACTGACAAGAACCAGAATGACATACAAACTGATGGAAATGTATGTGGGAAATAAATTATCAAGAGTTTGTGGACAGGAAAAAGTGAGGATGATGGTAATTCTTCATTTAAATTCTTTTCAGTCAAAATTCATAAAAGGTTAAATTATAAATATGTATTAGGAAAATGATGTCAGAATGTACTTGCTGTCATATGTAGCTGCTTGTTTGGTATGTAAACAACTTTACATTCAAGTGCCAAGAACTTGATTTTCAGATACACCATCATCCTTAGTTCTCACCCTAATCTGTCTTGTTCCTTAACTCATAATTAAACATTGTTACCAACCCTGGCCTGGATCACATTTTTAAATGGGGAAAAAAGGTAAAATATAATGCTGACATGGCAGATCCTTTTTGTTTACATTCTGAACCATTATTGACATTAACTTTGAAAACTGCTCAGTGTAATACACTAAGCTGCCATAAAAAAACACAAACATCTGCCCTTGCAGCTTAAAAATAATGAGGCTTTTTCAAGTATCATGAACAGATTTCCACAGTGATGTTCATGCATGGAATATTGTTTCTCAGATGACTTGGCTCCTCTAAATGTTGCAATCAAAGGCTTAGTACATCATCATTTAACTCCCTTGCATGTTGCCTGCTACTCCTTCATAGGCATACAATAGCTACCAGATAGTTTCATCATAGAGATACTGTAGAAATCCTGTAGTACCCAAACAGTTTACTGATTCCTCTTTAAATTCAAATTTAGGAACACTCTCTTCTTGAGTCTTGTCTTGCCTGGATCTTATAAAATCTATTTTTTCAGAAGGAATGTCTATCATTACATAGGCATGGAAGGGGGAGAAAAAGCCCTTGTATCCTTCATTATTTTTTAGTCAAGTAATTTTTATTTTATGGAAGTGTTTTGAACTTGGTAAAAAAAATAAATTACTACAAGTTTAATAGCAAATCCTAAAATAAATGGTTAATGGTTAAAAGCAAGATAAATGTGCTAGACATCTAAGGTCATGTAGCACTATAGTTAATGTTAGTGAAGGGTGGTTGAGTTACTGATTAGTTGTCTAAGCTGGGCAAAGGAATTAGTGAGTGAAAGGATTAAGGTCGGGTGTTATATTAGATAAAGGATATGCATAAGAAAGGTTTCTTGAAGGCATACAATAGATGGGTTATAAGAGGAAAGGATATGATGGTGAGGTCTGTGGGAGCGGAAACCGCGAATATTCCAATGAAGGATAGTTATACTTTTGTTGATTTAGTGATATAGATTGTAGTACGTGTTGGAGAATTTGAAGGGGAAGCAGCTAGAGGGTGGGATAAGGACTGAGAGGTTTGAGATGGGAGAGGTGTGGGAGTTGGTGTTCTATCAGGAGGGGTATTAGGAGATGGAGGGTCTGAGGAAGGGGAAACTTGTGACATAAGGGATTCACGTGTGTATCCAGGAGGGAGTGGAAGGGATAGAGGGGATGGTGGGAGAGTTAATGTGGGCGGGGTTGGGGTCAGGGGGGATGGGCTGTGTTGGGAGGGGGTAGGAGGATAGGGTGTAGGGGGGATATCGTTAGGAGGAGGATGGATATCAGCAATTACTTGGAGTGTGGAAGGAGCAGGAGTTGTAGGTTGAGTGTCAGTTTTCATTAAGTAATCTTGAATATTTTCAATAGTTTCTTCTGTGGAGTTGGTTGGGGAGTTTTGAGGGATAAAGGATTTCTTGTGAGGGGGGGAAGAGAGGACTGGTGTCTCAAGAGTACGGGCAAAGGATGGTGGGGGTGATTGTGTGGTAGGGGAAGAGGGGGTGGAACGTTTGTTCTGTCTGTTACGGGTAGTGCGAGGAGGGAGAGGGGAAGGTGTTGGGGTTGTAGTGGTGATTGGAGTATCTGTAGTAGAGATTGGAGTGTCTGGATTTAGGATAGCAAAAGAGTTTGACTGGGGAAGGTAGGAAGTAGAAGTGGGGGAGTTAGATGTAGGAGGGGTGGGTTTAGGAGAAGTGTCCAAGTTTGAATCTGAGAGTTGCTACCTCAGATTCAAATTTGTAGGTGGGAGAGCCACTATAAAATACATTATGGGGGCCGCCACAGTTGGCACATGTGCGTGATTGTGCAGAGCAGTTAGATCGGGTATGGCCAGGTTGGGCACATAGTGGGCATCTGGCTGTGGAACGGCAATGTTTGGCTGGGTGTCCTAGACGCCAACAATTTTGGCACTGACGTGGAGGAGGTTGGTATGGACGAACAGGGAGGGATTCTCCTCCTATGTAGACGTTAAAGGGAAGGTCATGTCTACGGAAGGTAATTTTGGCTATGTTATTGGGTTTCTTTCGATGACCTCTGGGGGGAATGGAGTAGCATTGTACTGATGTTGCATCGTAGTCTGTGAGACAGGCAAGTAGATCTTCTCCACAATCTGACCAATCTTTGTCATAGATTGGGCAATTTGCTGGGGAGATTGAGACTGTTCCAGTGCAAGTATTGAGGGTTGGATGGGGTTCTGCAAGGATGGGGTTACCATATAGGTCAGTTAGTTTTGTTAATGCTCTAGCTTGATTTTCGGATGTTACTGTGACAAGACGGGAGCGGTCGGGTCGGCTACAGAAAGAGACTTTACCTACTTGTTTTTGGAGGCATTGTTGGAAGAGAAGGGTGTTGTCAGAGTAGGGAGCTGTGGGAGGGATCACGAAAAATCAGTCCCATTTGGCTGCACTAAAGAGAGTATTCAAGATTGTTTTAGAGATAGGGGTGGTAGAAGGGCGGGGGCGTGACGAAGATGGAGTAGTGTTGAGGGAGGTAGTGTTATGGAGGGGTGGGCTATAAGGCTGTAAGGTATTAATAAGGGAGGATGGGGTGGTTGATGTTGGAGGTTGTGGGGGTAGAGGTGTTGAAGTTGAGCATGCTGGGAGAGTGGAAATGTTCCTTGAGGGTTGATTGTTGGCTACTGTACTAGTAGGCATTGGTGAAGGGGTAGTTATTGCAGTGTTCGGAGCCGTGGTCAAAGGAGAGCCTGGGGTCGGGGAATCGGGTGGGTTTACTTCATTAGGGCTATTTGATAAAGGGGCAAGCCTCATTGCCCCTAACAGTGGGGATATATTTTCATTACTGGCCATGGTAAGCCTGGATTATGTTGGGGATAAAAACAGTCCACCCCTCAGGGTCCCCTTGAGGGGTAAGGGCTAGATAACTAAAATCAGGGGAATACCGTGCCCATAGCTCCCTCAGGCCGTTCAGGACTGGCACAAAGTCAGCCTTTCATCCTTTCAGCACGGCTCTCCCACCTTAGCATCCTTTCAGCACGGCTCTCCCACCTTAGGAGGTGCATAGCAGAAGGGTTTGGTGAAGGAACAGAAACAAAAGTGAGAAGGGAAAAAAAGAACATGCATAATTAGTTGAGTCGAGGGCTGAGTCCCAAGGTTGAGGAGTTCCCCATCATTGGGTCCCAGTCTCCGCCTCCTAAGCCCCCCCACGACAACAACGGGCAAGGGATTGGGGGGGGATCCTAAAATAAAGAAAAATACAATGTACATCCTTGTTACCTTAAATTATATTGCTTGGCATTCACCTATTTCCAATTTAACCTTTCCTCGTCCGGGGTGATGGCTGGGCTTGTTGAAGCCAGTTACTTTAAAATAAAATGAAAGACCTTGTTTTAATCCTGGTCTTCCGACAGTCATTGCAGCTATCAACCTCATTTGTATGGAATAATCTACAAAACATTGACTTATTAATAGTGAGCATTTTAATTTTAATTTTCTATTAATAAACCAGTGCATTTTTTTCTTCAATCCATTGTTGATAAGTGCTGTTAAGTCCTCTCACATTGTAGCAAATTTACCAGAAGCAGAGTGACAATTTAATGTCATGAGTTCTGATTTCCAGGATGAGATCTTGCACACCTCAACCAAACTTTACCAAAAAAATTTGCCTATGGATTAATATGCACTTCATTAAAGTTCTTTGGGGGGAGAGCAAGGGAAAAATATTGCAGAGGAGCAGTGAGAGGAAAGAGAACAGGAAAGAAATAATGAGGGATAAATGAAAAGAGAAATAAGTAGGTGGCTGATTGCAATGTAAAAGCCTGTGTCAGTGTGTATGCTCATGTGCCTTTGTAAGGGAGGTAATGAGAGAATGAGGGCATTGGGAAAATTTTTTTTTTTAATATTCCTTAAATTTTAAGGACTTGTTTCCATAATCATAATAGGATAAAAAAAAAATCAGGATAAGAGAAACACATTTGTGCTTTCAGCAATCTGTATAATTGTCTCTAATCTCGTTATATATACATAACAATAATCTCTGATAAACAATCCACTGGAGTTGCACTACTATGGGTTAGCTTTCTAGAAGTTTGTGATAACAACATATAAGACTGAACATAGATTTAATTTCTAAGAGCCGGGTATTAATTCTGAAATATGGACACAATAAATTTCAAGGAAGTCTTGCAAGTAAAATAGCTAGGTACTGGAAACTTTCTATGCTTTAATTTCCCAGTCAATATTTGAACTCTTACCTGTTGAGAAAGTTTACAAACATCTAGCTATTACGCATTAACAGGGTAAAACTACTTCCTTAAAAAAAATCTGCACAGGCAGCTTCACATCATGCATGAAATAAAATCTAAACACTTCTCTGACAAAACTACAAAATTTAGCTTTACAGTTCTGACAGCTAAAATATGAGTGATGAAATCAAGCAATACGAGCCTACAAGAGGTATAGAAGGCTAAATTTTGTGTGTTCTATATATATATATAAAAAAAAAAAAAAAGAAGCCATACCGTATCCTCTACAAAAGTGGATCGCATTTAATGATCTCATCACATTATGTTCTTGGTTTGTACTGTCACCATGGAGAAGCTGAGAATGATGATGAGATATGAAAGGTGTGCTACCTAGCAAATACAACCCTTAAATAGAAGCAGCTCCTGCGAATAACAGACAGCAGGCTAAACCTCTCTTAGCTTTTGTGTCAAGCTCAGTGAAATATATCATTAATGGGACAGAAAACTACAGAAAAGATTAGAAGAGTTTAATAGTTGACTTCTCTATGATAAAATGATTGACATAAAATGGGCTTACTAACATGACTAAATTCTTTAAAGCAATAATCACAAATGTAAAGAAATAATACTAAACTATACATATGTACACATATGGGATATAAGAATTATTGCTATGTCAAACTGAATAATACAGAAAAGATGCATATGTAAGATTCTGATGCAACTAACTGGACGGAAAGGAACAACGGAAATTGGGGCGGGAATCCATAAACAATTATGTAGAACAGCGCCTTTGACAACAAATGATCAATTATTATACCAAAAAAATTATTTCCCTTGAAAGAGGATAATTGCGAAGAAAATGAGAGCCTTGTATTTGTTATTTGTGCTCAAAGATAGGACACATAAATGCATCATTCCAACTTGTTTTTGTTTTTTCATCTATAACAAACCACTGAATGCAAGGATATAATAAAAGCAAATACTGATTAATATTCACAACCAAATAAATAGGGAGGAAGAACTCTCATATTGATTGGTTTTAATTAAATGGCTCATGTGCAGAAATATGATTAGTCAGACTGAGGAAGGACTAGTATGGCCTCAAGTGCTATGATGGGGTAAAAACTTAGCTTAGAGCAAGTTCAACACAACTAACCCCTTAAAACAAATTTCTCAACTAAGATGAGTTTGATTCAACTACTGACATTTTTGAATGCATTAAATAATTAACTAATAAAAGCAATGCTTAAGAAAATATGATAAAAATTTGAAGTGTAAATATGACAAAAGAAATTACAATAACTAATATATTGAGAAAATTCATAATTAATAAAAATCATAATGATCTGAAGAAACATAAAAATGGTAATACAAACAATAATAACAGTAATAAATAACCAAACCATTTCTGGACTAATCACATCTCAGGGATTCCTTCCAACCTATCTTACAGCAGTCTCCTTTAAGTGGAGCAGCACTAGGTGACTGTCCCTGTCTGGACCTACATTAGGTAATTACCCCTTGCCTAGACCCGTAAAAGGTGACTGCCCCTACATGGACCTCCACTAGGTGACTGTCCCTTCCTAAACCTCCCCTATGTGACTGTCCTTGTCTGGACCTCCACTAGATGACTGTCCCTGCCTAACCCTCTCCTAGGTGACCGTCCTTGCCTGGACCTCCCCTAGGTGACACTCCTTGCCTGGACTTCTACTTGATGACTATCCCTGACTGCCCCACCTTAAAAGAAGCAGCAGTGCTTATGCCTGTGTAGATGAATCTGAGAAACCTATACTTGGAATCCCTACATCAAGCTTTTGGCTGGATGCTGTCACCTTAGTATATGCAACTTGGTGTCAGCAGTATCACACCTCATGAGGTGAGAGCGAGAGAAAAAAACTATTGATGATGTAAGAAATGGAACTTACCAATAACAATAACACATAATACCAATATGCACAAAGTCAGTATACAGTTCATGTCAGTTTCTATTTTTGGCATTAATATCATATTTCAACCATCAGGTTGGGCAGCAACTAACATTCTTTTAGTCGTTCATTTGTATCATTTGGTTACTCTGAATACCCAAAGTTAGGATGAAAGCCCATGACAAAAGCCACATGTTGACACCATACTGGTCTTAAGTGCCTTGCCGTGAAAGAAATAATGCCTTGCTACTTAGCTCCTTATACATTGAGAATATTAACACCACAGTTTACTTGAAATGGGGAGATTCTCACATTTGGTTTCTCTTACATACTCTCTTGAATTCTACAATAGCCGCAACTAACAAGATATCTGTAATTGAAGTCCTTTTAATATAATGAAAAATAAAAAAACTATTTATATAATTATAAAAAGAAAAAAAAAAAATGCAACTTTGGCACTTGATGTGGTTTACAAGACAATGCATATCATGAACTGTTGCCTGCATACCACCTACTGCAAGCTCTTCTGCCTATACTCAGCACTTTTGGAGATTGCTGAATAGAATGTATTACTCTTGCAACTGGGGATGTAACTGATACATTTCTCAACAAGAAATCTTGGAACCAATAATATGGAACACAGGAAATGTACGACTTACTTTCTTGGATTTTTTTCTTCTTTTTGATGAAAGTAAACACATCAAACTGTGGACGCAATCATTATGACATGGAGATAAAGTCATCATGGTGTAACAGTTTACGGCCAAACTAAGGGAGAGGGGTAGACGATTCATTGTAGAGCACATGATGGCATGGCTTTGCAGCATCAGCAAAATAATATTAGTTACACTTGCATTAAATAGCTACAATTCCCAGGTCAAGATGCACACTGTATAATTTGCAAAAGATAACATTGCCTGCACAAACATGAGAAATATATGTAAAAAATTATAAACACTCATTTTCCCCCCCTCCTTAGCATGAAAGCAAATTTCAAGTTAGTTTTAAGCATTCCAAGGCCAATCATTGGCAAAAAAGAGAAAAAAAAAAAGACTACAGTTCCTATCACTGTATAAAAATGGATTATCATTATCAACATTTCTTTCATGTTCACTTCTTTTTAATGGAAAAGTCTTCTCTTACGTTCTAGCAGAAGCCATCAACCTTCTATCATCCTGCTTGAGAAGTCACTCCCTGTGGAGCTTTCAGGATAAACAGTAGACCAATGAATGACATTGCTTATATATATAAAGTAAAAAATAAAAGTGACTTTATTGACTATGAATAGCTCATCTCAAAATATATGACAACATCAATACTGTTCTTTCTTCACTGCAAGTGAAATTCATGTAGCAAATTTCAGTTAAAAAATCACTTTTCAATGTCAAGATTTTACATTCTATGTGACCCCATGTAGTGGCAAGAAGTCAATATACAGGTATATATCACACATTAAACCAAGATACATTACCTTGCAGTCCTTATGCTTTCAGAAACTGGTTACTCATAATCTCCATATTATGCATAGGGGCACTGTGTTATTCATGAAACAAAACAGAAACTCATTTCAATTACAACAGCAAATTGATGTAGTCTAGTTTAAATCAATACTTATTTACTTCACTATTTTTTCAGTAAAGTCACTAAGGCCTTGGGTGTAAGTTGTATACTTTTCTGAAGTCATACAATTAGATTTTGCAAATCATCCTACTGTCTTCAGTATATTCAACAATCTTTTTCAGTTAAACCCCTTCTGTTCTTTGGTGATTCCGTGCTCCAGGAGTCTTTACTTTGTTATCAGATGAAAAGAAAGAATAGATAGAGTACAGACATGGTATAATTGTAAAGTAACACATTTTATGTGAGAACCAAGATAATTTTATATAATTTTTAAAATTCACTTTGGCTATATTATGCATCATGAGAGGAAACCAAGTTTGATAGAGAAAATAAAAATAAAATATATATATGAATTCACATTTTCAGATATACCACATGCTTTGTAGGTAATATTATCACAGCTTGTAATATTTAACAACCCATCACAATTTGCTCTTACTAAACATATCAAATAAAGCACGAGAAGTCAACTGGAGTACAGCCTCACCTTTTCTTGCTGCCTAACATTAGAAGATTCTATTATGGTAAAGAGAGAGAGGCAGATTTGTGTTACTTCCTCTGGACGAAACAATTTAAATCTTGAGACTACTTTTGTTAGATAAATACTCATTTTCACTTAATTTGCTGAGATATTGAAACTTTTTCTTCTTGACAATGTTCAACAAAAGACTCCAGTCACTTTGAAGTGTTCTCTTTGGAATATACTGGTTATTGAGAGATCCAGATCATTCTTCCTCTGAGTCCCCGTCACTGGAGTATCCTTGGCTTGTTATGGGGCGGTGATATGGGGCACATTCCATTTGTCTGCCAATGAAACAAGAAGAGAAATCAAGTTAGTTACTGAACCTCTTCTTCTCAAACTATAAAGAGGAGTATCCTCTATCTCACTTTACTATCTCCCTTGAACTAGGACTACACAAACTGCAATAACTTCTAATCAGTAAGCTGAGATTGCTTACTATGTAAAAATAAAATGGCCAGTGTCCAGTTACACTATATAAATAAAATATCTACAAAAATACAGAAGACTCGTACAGTACTGCCTATTTTTCAAAGAATCAGAGAGTGAGAAAGCAAAAAATATTTCTCAGTAAACTAATCCTCGCATGAGATGAGAACAGATCCAAAACATGTTTATGAAAGCCACTAAAAGTCAAGAAGCAGCTCAAACAAAATTCAAAGAGTTCCTATCATCTCCGAAGAACTTACTGTGGTAGTTCCCCTGAGACAAGACTTACGCAAGCCTTCTGTAATGGTTGAGCCATTCCTCCGTCATCTGGGCCACCGTCAGGGGCTTCTTGGTGAGATGCTGCTGTGCCACCAGTACACCTCCCTCACTGACACACACCTCCAGCCACTGTCTTAGTAATGTTTCCTCACAGCCAACCTAGGAATGGATTAAGCTGACAACTTAGTAAAAGAATGCTTCAGCACAAACATAAAGTCTTCTGCTTAGTAATCCTGATATAACATAAACTGAACTTCAACTTTAGATCTTACCCTTTCTTGTCCACCTGGCTTTCTTGTATTTGTTGACATTCCCATTTTGGCTATACAATGAACATCTAATACACTCATACTTTTCCTTCAGTTTAATTCTCAGTATGCTCGGAATAAATAATCATATTGCATAAAAACAAAAACAATGCACTTCATTCCCAACACTAATGACAACTATTTTTTCTTTACCTATTTAAGAGTAAATGAAAGGATTAAGAACTAAAATAATACTTACCATTCTGGCTTGATTAAAAGGCAAGGCTAATCATGTCTTACCTCAGCCTGTGTAAGGAAGTGCACAGGGAGAAGCTTAGCATCTTGAGTCATTAAAGGCAAGAAGACCACCTGTGACTCCCCAGCATCCAAGATTGCTCCTTGAAAGAATCAGTGTGAAGTACAGTTTAAGAACAGAGATTCTTTTTCAATAAAAATGCTACTTAGTTAAGAATTCATTGGAATCATATTTATTCCCTTGAATAAAGTGCCAAAACAGTTATATTCATGAGATCTGAGAAAGATCTACAGCATTCAAGTTCATAATCTACTTATCCTTCCACCACAAATAAAAATAAATGTGATATTTTTTTCAACACTACTCAATACATTTATATTATATCATGTTTTTCATTAGAGAGAGAGAGAGAGAGAGAGAGAGAGAGAGAGAGAGAGAGAGAGAGAGAGAGAGAGAGAGAGAGAGAGAGAGAGAGAGAGAGAGAGAGAGAGAGAGAGAGAGAGAGAGAAAGAGAGAGAGAGAAAGAGAGTGAGAGAAAGAGAGTGAGAGAAAGAGAGAGAGAGAGAGAGAGAGAGAGAGAGAGAGAGAGAGAGAGAGAGAGAGAGAGAGAGAGAGAGAGAGAGAGAGAGAGAGAGAGAGAGAGAGAGAGAGAGAGAGAGAGAGAGAGAGAGAGAGAA